GAGAATGATCGAGTGTACCACCGCCATTACTATTGCTCTCGGTGGGCATTAGCTTACCTTCCACGAATACACAGAACCATTTTCCCCTAGCTTCACTCTACCACTCACCCTTGAATCATAACATTTACTTATTGACTCTAGCAGTTTTGTGGGGTTTTCTTGTTCAACACTAACCTGTAATACAGGAAAGAAATCATAAGACAGGGAGACGTGTTTCCTCTTTTCAATGTTCTCCGCCATTATGAGGGAATAGCGGTGCGTGCGCTCCCGTCTACAGTCCCTGGAGTAAACAACAAACCCACACTGCCGCCTACTGTCAAAAGTGGTGTGACTACGGATACAATACTGTATATTGGCATGTCAACGGCACCAAACATCTCTTCAAGAGAAGATAGAACAACTGTTACATGTTTTATATCAAAGTAAAATACACATTCATACAAATGTGGGCACACATTGGTGGGCATCACATTTACATACATTTTGCTCAGATGTCAAGAGTTGTCACTGTAGGATGAAACCAGTTATTTAGGTTTGTCACCAAAGAATTTAGTCTTCTAATGAGTCAAAATTGTTGTTCCATTTTTAAAAATGTCTAGTAATGTATCAGCTTAGCTTATCATCTCATATGTTTATTGGCAGTTATTCTAAAGACTAACCATAATGCACATGTCCTTTCAGATGTATCACATGAGATACATTGAAAAGCATGTGAAACATCCAAAAATGCCACGTGGATTTATCATGTGAAATGTCTGAAAACCTCATGTGCTTTCAAATGTATAACATGTCAAACCTCTGAAAACCATGTGCTTGCAAATGCATTACCTGAAACATTCAAAAAAGACATGAAAATATCACATGCAAAATGTCCAGAAACCATGTCTCTTAACACATCATGTCTGAAAACTGCATGAAATACAATCTCATGTATGAAATGCACTATATGAAAATCACTTGCTTATTTTATGTACATTTTTCACGAGTGAAACCCTGTTTTACCTGTGATTGATGTCATGTTTTTTGTAAGAGCCTTGACAGACTAATAAACTCTCTTTTCCAGCATGTGCTGTCCCAAAACAGCAGCTGTGTAAAAGTAGCTTTACTGTATATGACTGAAACCTCTTAATCCAATGGAGCTCATTCTAAGCTTTACAACAATATGGCTTTTGGCATGTCTTGGTTTTTTCAATACCCTGGATTTGTGCATAATCCAAACTGTAATTCATTTATAAGTTCAGAGTGTAGAGAAAGTATAAAGAGGTGTTGAGGAGGATTTTATAGATGTCTAGACATCGTTCAACCTGTCAATTCTGCTGGCTAACTATGGCTGTCCAGTACCTCCAGTGAGTGACCACAGAATCTGGTTAAGATAAGAACAAACAGTTTGTTCATTTTCAGTAACAGTCTATTGGGATAGTAGGATTCAGTTTTGAGTCCTGGATACACTTTAACTGGTCTACAGCTATTTCTAATGATTTATGAGAATCTTTACTAGTCTTCACTCTTACATAACACAAAATCACCCATTAAGTTTTGTCATGCATTCATAATGTTTTCTATTTCTGCACAGTGTTCTGCTGTACCTCACTAATATTTCAAACAGCTCACAGCAGAATGGATTGTCTGAGGTCCTGAGGCGTGACACAAAACATGGTTTTATGCTTTGCTGTTTCCATAAAGTCACTATTTATTCAATTTATCTTTAGGATTTAAAAATTTCTCCTCATTTTTCCCCTCGCTGTTGAGACATTTTAGTGTGGACCCATGAATAGTGAGGCTAAACGTGGCTCTTTATAAAAACAGCCTGAAAACTAGAATAAATTATTCAAATTAACATCATGAACTCAGCACTTGTTTCCAAAACGCATCGGGCTTCTGTAGATGTCCTGTTGCATACTTCAGACGTTGGATTTTATGATGGGGACGCAGATAAGGTTTTCTTCTGCTGACTCTTCCATGAAGGCCTTGTCTGTGCAAGCATCGCTGCACAGTGGAACGGTGCACCACCACTCCTGAGTCTGCTAAATCTTCCTGCAGGTTTTTTGCAGTCAAATGGGGGTTTTGATTTGTCTTTCTGACCAGCATACGAGCAGTTCTGTCCGAGAGTTTTCTTGGTCTTCCAGATCTCATCTTGACCTCCACAGTTCCCCTGATCTGCCATCTCTTAATTACATTTCTTACTGTGGAAACTGCAAGCTGACAACGCTTTGCTATCTTCTTGTAGCCTTCTCCTGCATTGTGGGCGTCAATAACTTTCATTTTCAGGGTCTTACACAGCTGCTTAGAGGAACCCATGGTTGCTGGGTGTCCACAAGTGTGTGCACAAGGTTTGAAGAGTCAAAGTATTTGTACAGCTTTGAAATTGGCATTTACCAATGACAGCTGTTGCTGTGCATCAGATCTAACGAGCTGATTAAGGTCTGATACCTTGTGAGAGACTTTGAGACTCTGGAACTCTTAGGGTGCCCAAACTTTTGCACCATGCCATAATAATGTTTTTATTTTTTATTTTTGTTCAATTTATGGCATAAGAAGTAACTATGCATCACTGTTTGCTGAAAATATTGTGCATTTTTTCCATTTCCAAGAGAAACTGTGTTAACATCTGTTCAAATAAAAAATCACCAAAATCTGTTATTTATCAAGGGGTGCCTAAACTTTTGCATAAGACTGTATAGCTTCACATTCATTAGTATGGCTTCATATTTTCTTAAATTCCAGTGGATGTCTGACATGATGTTGGCAATGGCTGCTAAAAAATGTGTTGCAGCTACAGAGAGCTTCTCATTTAGTGCCCTTTGTTTTATGTTGTGCCTGGCAGAGATTTCTGGGAACTCTGAGGACATCCCCCTGGTGCGCTGGAGACAGCAGTGGCTGGAGAATGGCACTCTGCTCTTCCACATCCACCATCAGGATGGCAGCCTGAACCTCCCAGAACCAACTGAAGACCCAGCCAATGATTCTGCCAAGGAGGAGCTTCGCATCCTGCACATCTCTGTCATGGTAAAACTTTCTGACTGTTCACAGGAATGGAAACAGTTTGGAAACTTTCTTTTCACATGCAGTCAAAAGAACTTTTGAATTGCCCAGCATCTTTTATTTGCAAAAATTCAAATGATACATCAAATAAATAGCTTTTTTTCTTTCTTTTTCCCAATTTCATTAACATGGATATAGATTTAAACATATAAAATTGGTTTAGTGTGGTTTTCCCTAAGGCGGAAGCATCCTCTGATATATTATCTTTGAAATAACACTTTCCTCCGCCTTGTTTTTATTTCTCTGTATGATTCAAATGAAACAGCTGACTGCACACTTTTTTCAGAGTAAATTTAGTCAGTCTCTTCATTGTACAATAGGTCAAAAAGTATTTTATTTACAAAACAGATGTCTTACAGTTGTCTATCTGATCTAATAACTCTTCTCTGTATCAAATGCACATGAAATCACACTCATACAAACAAGCAAACAAAAGCCCCAGCTCTGCCACTGTCACCCCCCTGCCTGATTTGTTTGTATTGAATATATACTGAGTGCATGGCGTTCACTCTAACCTGCTGTTCTACAGCTTGCCACAGAGTACAGATATGTTCAAAATCAAGTATAGATGTGTTACTACTGTAAAGACATGAAGTGGACTCACTGAAAGCAGCAGGTTTCCTACAAATTAAGACAAAAAAGATGATTCCTACCGTTTTTATATCAGTGGGACGCTGTACATAGTATAAGCGGCAACAAATTCTGTATTTCTGTCTGAAACATAAATTTATAAAGTTTCCAGTTTCAGGAGCAGAACGTAGATTTTTGCAATGCCCACATGTATCAAAGCTTATCTGCTATGTCGGGCAGAGTAGGAAATGAATCCTTAGATCTCAGAACTTCCTCCTCTTGCCTGAGGAAATGTATATTTATTAGATCTTAGATATGCCACACCTACTTCCAGTGCCCTTTTCCAGCCCAAACATATTACAGTCATGTTTTGATGGATATGTATTTTCAGACATTGAAAACACATTATAGTTGCATATGCAAATAATGAGTCAGCTTGAGCAGGCTTTTGCTACCAGCTCCATCTGCTGAACAGAAGTAGGGGGCCACACATCAACACTCTGTGACCTCAGGACCTTAATATAATGACAAATAACTGTCCTCGACTATATTACCACATATCGAGCTGATCTACTAGGCACACAGGATGAAACTTTTTTTTATTTTAATATGGAGATCGCCAGCACAGAGGCTCTGCTTCGTACCTCTCTGAATTTCCTCTACTCTCTAATTTTTACTCCTTGCTCTATTTGCATTTCACATCCCATCAACCTCAGGTCTGTGTCTTTGTGCTTCCTGCTCTGATAATTCCTCACCCAGAAAGAACTGCGGCATTTGCTTCCACCAGGGTGTTTTCATGCAGGTTTGGATAGAAAAGGATTAGCATGCAGATATGAGCAGACCGTGGCAACAGATGGAAGCGGTGTTGCCGCTGTGCTGCCCAGGCCCTGCTGCAGCTTGCCACCCGGCTGGAGGCCCCCGACCTATAAATCCAAAGCCGTGTCACTTGTTCAGCTCCTTGTGATGCAAAAAGGATCCTGTGAAGGCTGCTTTACAAGCTTTTTAGTTCAAAAACCCCTGTTACTGGACCTCTTTCTGTTTTATGTCATGGGGGCTGCAGTGCAGTGGCAGTAAACACAAGAAGAGGTAGGATACGCTTTTGAATGTGTGAATTGCTTTAGGTATCATTCAAATCTTAGGAAACTTTTCTGCTATAGCAAATTGTAATGCATTTAACACAAGGGAGCACACCTTATGAAACAAGGGACAGCTCCTGTTAAGTTCAGCTTGGGTATTTGTGGTTTTCATTATCATTTCTACCAGAAATATTAACATTGCACTGAGATGGCTGTGCAATGAATGCATGGTGAATCATAGTGCTACCATGTAAACAGGTTATCAGCAGGCTGTCTTTGGTCATCAAAGCTCAAAATGTGCTGACTTGGATGAGTCAGACAGTCAGTCTGACTCATCCAAGTCAGCAAATTTTCAAGACTGTCAACTCTGACCTTAGGGCAGAGACACACCAAACCAACATGAAAGAACTATCAGTAACAAAGGCCAACCTCTGTGTAGCCTCACGTCGGCTTTGTCTGGGCCAGTTGGGTTGAAAAACATTATTACACCGCACAGACTACAGCCAACAGCCAATTAGCATGTATGTTCTGCGCCTGCGTGACAGAAAAAACACCTGCTAGCAGCAGGTGGTGGTATCTGTATTTGCCATTCAGAAAGGGAAAGAAGAAGATCTAGACTGCAGATGTATAAGCTATAAACAAAGCACCTCTCATTCAACATAGCTGCTGTTCATAGCTGCTTCTAGTCTGATAAGAAGTTGCAAATGACACTGCTGTTCTCTGCCCTTGTTCTTTTTGTTGTGGAAGAGGAAAGGGGGTTGTGGAGGCAAAAAACAAGGAGAAACTGCACTAATTGTGTTAAATCATGATGAAACAGTGACAGGCTGAAGGGGCTTTCCTGAACCATTTTCTGCAAAATGCATTGATTTGCTAAGTTGAACAGCCAATCAACTGTGGTCTTTCTTTCACCAGTGAGGCCCGATCACTGACACTGATTAAACATGTTGAATTGGCTGAAAAGGCACTGACAGAGGCCTAGTGCCAATGGTGCGGGACACAGCAGGTTGATGAGCCCCAACAGATGCTCACCAATGGTTCGATGGTGGCCAACAACCGACTTTCGGTTTGGTGTGAGTTTGTCCTTAGACAGCACAACACCAGCCTTAGCCCCATGATATGCCAAGCCAACAGTTGGCCATTGGCCACTGTCGGGCTGTTGATGCATGTCTGTTACCTTTGTCTTCAAAGTGTGTCCCACATCACTGGCACTAGTCAGACCCTGTCGTGGCTTTTCAGCCAATTTGGCATGTTGAATTGTGGCAGATATCGTTGGTAAGAGAGACCATTCTGACTAGCTGCTGAGCTTAGTGAATCAATGCACATGGAGAGAAATGTTCAAAAAAGCAACTTCAACTACTGTAGTATCCATGATTTCACCCATTTAGTGCAGTTTCTCCTTGTTTTTTGCCTCCACAACATCCTCTCTTCTTCCACAACCAAAAGACCAAGGGCAGAGAATGGCAGTGTCATTTGCAACTTCTTATCAGACTAGAAGCAGCTATGAACAGCATCTGTTATAAACCAGAGCTGCTTTGTTTACAGCTTGTATTTCCACAGTCTAGCTCTTCTCCTTTCCCTTTCTGAATGGCGGACACATATACCACCACCTGCTGGTAAGGAGAGTTATTTCTGTCATGCAGGTGCAGAACATATGTGTGGTGGGCTCAAATGTCACTTTTTCAAACTGACTGGTCTAGACAAAGGCGACATGAGGCAATGCGGCAGTCAACTTGTGTCAATGCTGGTTCTTTCATGTTGGCTTGGTGTGTCTCTTCCATTATCAGACTAGTGTGCACATAAATAGTTTATCCAGATAGGCTAATCCACTTAATTTGGAGGCAAAAACCAAAAGCACCCAAACTGAACCCAGCTGGTAGCACCATACCCACCGCAAAACTCAGCCATAAAGTTTTGCTTAATCACTGTTGTAATTATTTGTAATTATTGTTACTGACCATTAGATACAGGGCTAGGGATGCATTCGTTATACCCACCTTACCTCAACCCTCTGGCGTATTGACTTGTGCCACTGACTCGTGCTCAGATGTTTGACATGGAACAATGGTCCAATAAATAAATAAATAAATCGCTGTAATATAAACTGCACAATTTACAAATAGTAAAATAAGAGGGAAAGTTTCAAAAGCTGTTCATACAAGTTTAAAACAAACTATCAGCCTGTAGATATGATAGACAAGCATTATTTAGATGTGGGTTGTTGTTAGTTTCAGATGTGGTTCAAATGAATTCAGTTCGCCAAATCACAACAAAAGTCATCTCAGACACTTTGCAAAGTAAAGTCTAGACCTTACTGTTATTATCCAATTGAATTGAATTGAATGTAAAACAGAGAAAAGCAGTAAATGCTAACCTTCAGAAGCCAGAACCAGCAAACATTTTGCTTGAAAAAACAGTACAACTTTAAGTGCTGATCAACTATGTTGCCAATTAATTTTCTGCTGACCGATTGATTGAATTCTGACCAACAGCATGTTAAAGTCACCTAACCTTTCAAATGTTGAAAAGAAATCCTTCTTAGACTTCTTTAACCTCCTTTTCTTTAATGCTGGTCTCAAAGGTTGCGTTTTACAGTGCCATGTTTTTATCAAATACATGGAACGGTCTTGAACTGCTCCCAGGTCTGCACAACCCACTCAGGTCGGCTCAGCCAGAAAGCAAAACATTGAATCTGCCACAGTTCATTGCTTGGCCACTGTGCCCGCCATGAGAGTGTTTATGCCTAATGGATGAATCGGGCTTCCAGCATTTTTAGGCCTGAAGACAAGCCAGGCTTATTATGGGCCTGATCCTAAAGGCTCAGTGAACTGCACCAAACCTGGAGTCTGAAGCCAGAAAAGTGATTTTTGCCTGCTGGGCTGGTCAGCTGTGGTTTTACCTGAGTATTTAGGTTTCCCCCTCAGTTTTAATTTTTCAAACTACACAGCTGAAGCTGACATCCAAACTTTACTTATAGACTTATAGTAAAGAGTCATTTACAGATGTTACAGTATTTTAAGTGCACTGTTCTAAAGTTGGAGGGTTCCTCATGCAGGATTCAAAGCTTCTCCCTGTACTTTCACATCCAACAAGGTGACAATGGTGTCCTCCACTAGCTGTGGCTGCTCATCCATAATAGATGACTAATCTTGTATATGTCTGTACCAATACCAGGTGAGACTCTGGCAATTCAAAACACACATCCTCAACTTCAGCCTGAACCTTACAGGCAGAGACAGCTACAAAGTAAATACCAACACTGCAAACAAGTAAAAAAAAAAACAAAACAGCGTTTTAAAAGTGCATAAAATATTCAGTGTA